GACACATACATAGGTGTCATGTAACAATAATATATATTATTGTTACATTACCCCCTCCCTTTAAAAAAAAAATTACAATTTTTTTAAAATTTTTTAGAACAAATAGTCATTTTAAAAATATAACAGAATACAATTTTTATCAAGTACAGAAAAAGCGTTATTGTATCATACATGATTTTACCGAATATTACAATGTTTAAAAATTTATATTAATAAAAATAATTACATTTCAGAAATATTTTTATAGAGTTTTACATAATTATTAAAAAAAATTTTTTTTTTTTTTTTTAATATATTATAAATATCATTACAATTAAATGATTCTATAGTCTACAATATCCCAAATTATATACCTATTGTAAAATCATTATTTCCAAGACCTATCTTAACTAATATATAATATAATTTTATTATGTTTATGTTTTCTCATTGATACATAAGCATTTACTTACGAGTATTTCCACCACGCCAGCGGTAAATTACTTTTTGTATCATGCAGAGAATTTAACATTTTTTGGTGTGTATAAGTAAAACAATATTCGTCGTCTATTACAAATTTTATAAAATAAAGTATTATAATATATATATAACCATTACAATAAATAAGTAATTTATAAATATAATCTACATTTTTATAATAACTAAAATAAAACAAAAATGGACTACAATGTATCTTCCCTTTCTAACTAAAACATAATTTATTAATACCTAGTTAACTTAATATTATATAATACTATACCCTATATATATATATATTAATCCAAGATATAAATTTGCTCTTATTAAATTTTCGTAAAATAATATTAATTCAATATATCTGCCTGATTTAAACACAATATTTATTAAAATTAATATTATACAAAAGTGCTAAATTAATAATTCCTGTAAAGATTCTGAAACAATATTATAATATTAGTTATTTAATAATAAAAATTAGATTCATAGTTTTGTTTTTTTTTCAAATCATACAAGATCGAGATGCATTTCTTCTAAGTTGGTGTTCTATTGTTAAATGCCGAGGTTTATCTTTTGTACAATATTTTTTTAAATTTTTTAAAATTATGTGGATTGTTATATAACCTACAATTCCTGTAATTATATATAATACGTATTGATGAATATATAAGCTATAGGTTTTTTTTATCATCTTCTATTTCTTTATTAATTTCATTTATTAGAGAATTCAAATTATCTGATGATTCTTGTATATCGTGTAATTTTGGTGGCTTATCATTCATAAGTATCATTTTTAATGGTTTATAATTTTTTATTTGTTCAATTTTTTTACTTATATCTGTTACATTAACTTATATTTTTATAATTTCTTTTTTATAAGATTGTTTATGTAAAACATGTCTATTAATTGTTTTATTTGAATTATATGTGTCCATATTATTTACTCGAGATATATAAAAATCTGTAATATCATCATACTTGTTTAATGTTGGGTATTTTATGTCGGTAGTTAATTTATTATCAAATAAGCAATAAATACTAGTCAATGGGTCATCTTGCTTAGTGTCTGGTTTTAATTTATTTTTTTTATTTAAATTATTAGTAATTTCTTTTTTTATATTTAATTGGCCTTCTTCTCGTGTGCTTACCGTGTCATTCACACGAATATTTATATGCATTAGTGGCGAAATATTATCATTATCATTATTATTCTTATTACTATTATTTTTTAAAATTAAATTTGTCATATGATATTTTGATTTTAAATGTCTTTCTGTTAAACTGCTATTACCGTTAGTATTGTCGTTAATTATTAATGTATTTTTATATTCTCTTATATAAGACCCACAAATTTGACAGAACATTACGTCACCGCCTTTAATCCAAAATGGGTGGTCCTGCAGTTCGTGATTTTTTAGTGCTGACTCTGTTACTGATAAGTGTTCACATTCGTGGCAAAAATGAGAATACCCATAGGCGAAACTAGACATTTTTATTAGGTCAGGCCAAATGAAAAAATACTTCTATTAACAACTTTATAATGTAGTAATTTTGTTTAATGTATACATAATATATATATATATATATATATATTAATTATATTATAATGAATATTTTTTTACAATTTAAATATTTAATAATAAATAAAAAAATATAATAATTAATTAATACATTTATAATAATAGACGACGATTAAATGGTAGGGGAACGTGGGGCAGAATGGGGACGTTAATGTATCAGAAGCTATAACTCACTCAAAAATTGTGATTTTGATTTGAAACTTGAACTGTGTAATCTTTAGGATATGGTTATTAATATGTGAGCATTTTTTAAACATTCAGTTAAGTCTCATAGTGTTAAAGGTCAAAATAGGTTTAAGTATAATTTTCCCGTTTTGCCCCATACATGGGGCAAAATGGGGACGCCTCTCAAATATTATTTATTTAACATAAATATTATTTCATTTTACATATATGCAAATAAGTTTAACTACTTGAACTTTTTTTTATATAAATAACTTGTACATACATACATAGGAATATATTTTAATATAATAATATTGTACAAATCAATAACAAATAATAATAAGTGCTTGTAAATTTAAAACACATAAACTTTTACATTTATTAAATAGGTACATTTTATTTAAATACTAATTATAGATGTAGTACCTACACAAGTAGTCAAACTTAAAAATTTAATTAAAAAATTAACACATTTAAAATAATTAAGAGCAAAGTTCACAGGTTAATAAGGCATCCTTATCTTTTTCATCAATGCCCGCACAAAGGCAGTGGGCCCATAAATTGCATTTGGAACATTGAATCCACCCATCGACTGATATTGAATATGACTCACCACAGTATAGACAGTTCTCATCTACATCACTGGACACTGGTTCCTTAGTTTTTACTCTCCTTATTTTTTTTGTTTTATTTTTATTCTTAAACAATGAACGCTTTGCAGTCTGTGGCTTTGAGTTTGCATTTGCTGCTAAAAGTTCATTTTTATAAGGGGAATCAGTAAGGATTGCTGTTTTACCTCTTCTCTTAGAACAACGTGCAGTGGTTTTTGAACTTTTAGGTATTGGCTGTATTTCCTCAGGAGAAGACACAGGGAATACTTTCTCAGCATTGTTTTGCCAATAGGAACATCCTGGTGAGTTTTGTTTTGTTGTTATATCTGTTGCAACATTCTCTTTTTGGCTTGGATCTGAAACTTCTACTTGAATTGTATTCATATCTGTAATATTGAGTTGATTATTAACAGAAATTGTATCTCCCAAATCAATGTCTGTAGCTGCACTGGCTAGAAAATCATGCTCATTGAATATGTTTGAATCAACTGGCCAAATGCCAGTTGCCCTGAATGCGTTAATTGCTGTTGACATAGTTGATGCCTTTATATAAGCTTTTCCAAACAGTGAAGCAATTTGAAATTGTGTAACTACCCTGTGCTCATTAGCATGTTCCCTCAGCCATTTTTTTACTTCATCACAATAATAGACACTAAGCGGTTTCATAAATCCTACGTCTAAAGGCTGAAGCTTATGAGTACAGTGAGGCGGAAAACAAAGCAGAATTACACCAGCATCCCTAGCTCTATCAATTAATTGTATAGATTTGGTGTGAGTAGAATGACCATCAAGTAGAAGCAAAACTTTATTTGTTTGAGATGCTCTTGAAAATAATATAAATTTGTCAAACCATTTCAAAAACAAATCGGTTTGGATCCACCCACTTGGGTGCACTTCTGCCCACGACCCAGGTGGTCCACCATCAATAAGCTCTGGTTTAGCCCTAACGCGAGGAAATATAAGCATAGGAGGCATATAAGATCCATCTGCACCCATACATATTTCAACTGTAATTGTTTGGCCTCTTTCAGCAGATGTTAAAGTACCTACTTGACGGCGACCACGGCATGCAATTATTTTGCTTTGAGATTTTGGGACACACGATATTCCCGTTTCATCAACATTAAATATTTGCGAAGCAGTTAATTTGTACTTATCAACAACGTCTGTCAGCAAAGCATAAAACTTACCCACTGCTACTTGATTGAAACCAGAAGCTCTTGCCGCTGATGTAGCTTCAGGTTGGCGTAATGATAAGTCAGCATGTCGTTTCATAAATCCATACAGCCAGTCTTTTCCAGCCTTTAAGTTGTCTTTTTCAAAAGGATGCATTAAATTATTCTTTTCTGCAAGTTGGAAAGCTAATCCTCTTAATTCTAAAGATGTTAGTCCAAATAAACGGGCCTCCATAGATTTAATGTATTCAACTAATTCAATCTCTTGTTCGCTGTTGAAAACTGTTTTATACTTCCCAAGTCCTTATAAAATAATAAATATTATATATATATATATATATATATATATATATATTATATTGTAAATGTAAATACTTAAATAAGATTACCTTTACTAAAAGCATTTGTTTTATTTCCAGATTCTAAGTAGACTTTCACTCTTCTTTCAAGAGTTGACTGTGGAACATCAAATGCTGATGCTGCTTTTCTATACCCCATCTCTTTGTTTACACAAACCATAATGGCATTTTTCATAGACTCTTCTGTCCACGATTGGCGTTTAGTTTTTCTAACATAGTTTCTAACCATTCTATAAATATGGTAATATATCGTTTCAAAATTATGAAATTAAAACATTGGGGCAAAACGGGGACGTCCCCATTTTGCCCCGAACAGGTCTATCCCATTATGCCCCAATGAGTACACTTACCTGCAGCCGTTGTTCGTAAACACAACAATTAATTTTTTTTAATAATTAATATTATTAAAATAATCTTAAGAACATTTGCTATAAAAACAGTGAAAACAAATTTATGTAACAATAAGTAAACCATAAAAACATTTCGGAAAAAAATATCAGTTTATTATATCAATCAGATGATAAGAGGCATTTGTGATGATTTTAATTTATTACTGATAAGATAATTGATATGTGAACTTGAAATTTTTGTCACATGATATTGTTAGCCCAAGGATTCTATATATTAAGTTTTTAAATCAGTATGACCATTATAAGACATAGATATTGGAATGTCCCCGTTTTGCCCCATGGCCCCGTTCTGCCCCACGTTCCCCTACCAATTTTTTAAATTCTTCAATGACATTCTCAACATTAACATTATTAGCCAAAGACTGTTCCATGTATGGTAGCATAAGGTCATCTAAACGGTCTTGTTTCATGGTGGATCGAAGTTTACTTTTTACATGAGTGAGTTTAGAAAATGCTCTTTCACAAGAAGCACTGGTTACTGGAATCACACAAAAATCTCTAATAATTTTTATAAAATTATTATATATACCTTCAATTTCATTTTTTCGGAACCAATCTAGCCACGTCATACAATCTTGTTTAACAAGTTGTGTTACACAATCTAAGTCACGAGACAAAAGTAGACGGATCTCAGAAATTAATTCCTCTTCAGAAATATTAAAAAATGACGATAACAATTTAATATCATCTTTATTTGAGTCAAGTTTTAACATTTTCCCGACTGCTGTAATTAAAGATATTGTATCTTGATTAAAACGTTGATCAATACCATATATAAGAGAATCTAACATGGGAATCAATACAGTAACACGAATTTCTTCTTTTTTTGTATTGAAAATATGTTCATTATCTATGTTGTCATCAAAACGTTTTGATTTTTTCCTTAACTTAATCGATGGTTCATCAATATCATATTCTTTGCAAATTTTTAAAACTGTTGTATATGCTTCATCATAGAAATCATTATTACAACGTAATTGTTGTAAAGCTGAACGAAGATTCTTAACTTCATTTATTGCAACCAATAAATTAATTGAAGGATTTTGAAGTGTTTGACTTACTTTTAGAATCATTTGTAGTATGGGATGCATTAATTCTAAGGAAATAATAAAATTAAAACTCTGACAATGCATAATAATTCCTTTTTCTTTAACTTTGACTTCAGGCAATTTCGTTATTTTATTTACTTCAATTATTGTTTTTATTATAGCTGAAAAGTTTTCACGAATTGCAGATACTGCCTCTGCTCTACATGCCCATCTGGTTGTAGATAAAGATTTTAATGATTTTAATTTTAAATTCATAGTATTTTTAATTTGTTCAAATATTGCATGACGTGTTGGACTTCCCTCAATAAAATTGTAAACCATTTGAATAACGCCAATTCGTGAAATACAAGAGTCAACCAATACAAGATTCAAACAATGCGCAAAACAATGCACATAAAGTATTTTCGAATTCTGTTCTTTGCACTTTGATTGTACACCAGATATTTTACCAGCCATTGATGCTGCTCCATCAAAACAAACAGATACTACTGATTCCCATTTTAAATTTAATTCCAAAATTATTAATTTTATAACATTAAAAATAGATTCTGCAGTAGTTGACTCCAACTGTTTTAGACTTATAAATGTTTCAATTGGTTTATTTTGTTCATCGTCAAAGTACCTTAGGACAATAGCCATTTGTTCTATATGACCACAGTCACTAGTTTCGTCCGCCATAATTGAAACTTTTTTTCCATTTAAATTCTTAAGAATAAGTTGAAATATAACGTTATGTAGAGACTTAATTAAATCATTTTGTATTTTACTACTTAAATATTGGGCATTTTTTGGGCCTTTTTCTAAGTGAGCTTGAATTATAGGATCATATTTCTTTAGTAGATTGACAGTTTCTAAGAAGAGTCCTTTATTCATACTTTTAGAACTTTCATCGTGGCCTCTAAATGATCGTCCAGTTTTCGATAACAATATAACTATATCGATTAGACGTTTTAAAACTTCTCTGTTATGAAGACGGTCCTTCTCTCTATTTTTTAAATCTAATTCGTTTTGAATTTTTAATTGAACATCAATAGAGACACCTGACTTAAATACTGACCAAGATTCTACACAATTTGTATGACATACTGATTTCACATGGGATTTAAAAGCATTACATGCATCTTTCCAATTTGAATATCCTTTACTTATAAATGCTTGATCAATATGACCCTTAATTGCCACATTATTTAAAGAAAATGCTCGACAATAAAAACAGTATACTGCATTTTTACTTTTACTGTATTCCAACCAGTCATAATTATCATACCATGCATTTTGAAAGCTACGAAGTCTATTCCCAAAAAGAGTTTTTGGATATGAAAGAAGACGGATTTGGCAAGGCCCTTCAGATAGTTTTACATTACGCTCTATACGCTCTTTTGGAAGTGGTAAAGCAGGATCATTGGGTAAAACAGTTTTAGTAATATCAGTGTCATTTAGATCAATAGTTAAAGGTACTTCGGAAGAAATAGAATTTGATGTAGCTATTGTAGCTAAATTAGTTTTGTCAGTTTCAATACTTGGAATTTGTGGAGGTGATCCATTTTTGTTCAATTTTCGGATAACAAATCTATTTTGTAAGAATAATAATTAATAATATTAGTTTTTATTTTAAAATGATATTATTATTTTTTATTCATTACGGTATATTAAACAATATATTTAAACAAAAATTAATTTTATATTATAACAATTTTGACAATTTATTCATACTACTTGTCCTGTATGGGTGTATCGTGTCAAATATAAAATAATTTTGGAAATATTGAATTTTTCAATGAAACTATATGAAGAAATAGACTATAACTATCGATAAGAAGAAACAATTATGTTATTTTTTTTTGTTTTTTCTAAAAATTATCACTGACAAAAATAATATTGAACAAAATTAATTCCGAGTTTAGTCACTAACGTTATTTTTTGACAGGTTTGTGACTAAAAATACATATAAATTCAACAAACAA